CCCAGGATTCTCAAAATTTTCTGGGATACGATTTGTATTTCAGAAAATCTCATTCGACTTTTATGATTCTCATTATATTTCTGAAAACTGCACAGAGCACAAGGTGTAGTCACTATGTCACAAAGTCAAAAATTCTGAATTAAGCTATGAAGAAAAAAACATTTTCGTTGAGAGGTTTAGATACGCTAAAATCCCCCACATATTAGAAGATCCCGTTCTCCTTTGAAGAACAATTTTTTAAAAATAATTTCTGTGTTTATTGACATTTTTTGGTATTTAAGTTCATACTCTTATGTAAGTTCAGTTTGAGTAATATTTTTCTTGCGTTTTGATAACGATGCTTCAGTTCCGAGTTAGAAAAATCTAGAAACACAACTAAAAGAAATCAATTGTCTATTTAAAAAAATGCGCTTGTTATTGATAACAAATCCTGAGATCATTGTGGTGATCCTTTCCGATTTACTCTGGCAACATTCATCAAGTTCTCTAGGCGAAAAAACATTTCCATGGTCATATGGTCTAATAGACTCAATGCACATTCGCGCGTGTAACACATGATGAGATCTTTGTAAACGAGAAATAAATTAGGGAAAATTTCGTTGTATATCAATTAAATGGTCCTTTCGTTTTTAACTTTCTTCTAAAAGTTCAGAAACGTGTTTATTGCAAAACAGTCTTTCATAACTGAAGAAAGAGTGTGGATGGATGTGCGCGATAGATGATAAAATATAAACTCATGCCCACACTCTTGAAGTAATGAATTTCTTTCAACAAAAACAAAATTAGATTTACGTTAAAATAATTTAAGCATCTCCATGTTCTCAAGTAGATTATAATTCAATAGTTCCTTTTTGTTTCGTTCTACTCTAATACACTACATGTAACTGTACAACAGTAGAGGATCATGTTTTGTCATTTAGTGTCTTATAGTGGATCAAAAAACCTAGAATTTGAGAATTAAATGGTTTCTTGTAGTTTCATATTGCATAGTACTGAAAGACAATGTGACGATTTTAGATTGAAGAAATGTTAACGCTGATGGAATTGCGCTTTATTCTGTTACTTCATATCATGAATCGCAACGTTTTCATACAAAGCACAGGTTTATATGCGCAACCAGAACAAAGAACAGAGAGCAATAGTCAAGGAAAGAATAGAAAGGAAAGGAAAATTATGTAAAGAGAGAGAGAGATTAGGATAATGCATATGATGGAAAGAAATTACAAGGGAAGCTTGAACATCACGTATATAATAACCTCAATCGGAAACGTTACAGACACTACTAATTCTCAGGTTCTAAGTTGTTTCGCCTAATAAAATACACTACATGAAAACACATGATTTTATAGTGTCAGGTTGTGTCAAACAACATGTCCATGTGAGACACTCCCTAAAACTAAAAATTGTATTTGTATTTGTGCTACGTCTCACACAGTGAATTAGGCTGATGATAGTCTCACTTGGTGGTATGCATCAGAATGTATCGGATATTATTTACAATAGTTTGTGAGTTGCAAGTTGGGTAGACAAATACGATTGTTCACTTTTGCAATAGAAGATGTTTTTTTCATTTGTTCAATTTATGATATTCAAACGAAAACTCATGACAACAAACTTCCAAATAAAAAGAATTGTAACTATATATAGCTCTCTGTGAGATACTACAATTACTTTTATAGGTACTGAACACCATTTAGCATGAAAAACTTTTTGTTTCCTCATATTTTTTGTTCTTGCAGTAAAAGAAAAGTCAAAAGAGTGTACGCGTTCCAAAAAAAGTCGTACTTTTTTTTTACAAAGGCAATATTTGTGTAAGTTGTCAAAATTTACCAGAGTACAAAGTTTTTAACGCAAAAAAAGACACGAAAAAATTGACTGGTATATACGAGAAAAGTTTCGAGTCGATCCTTCTTACCATGTTGGAGAAGCGGGGGCAAGAGTGTGAGTATGGGTGTAGGATGAAGTGTAGATGTGGGTGTGGGAGTGAGTGCGGGTGTGGGAGTGAGTGCGGGTGTGTGAGTGTAGATGTGCATGTTGATCTTCTCTTAAGTCACACTCACACCAACACCCTCTTCTTTCATTTCAGCACCACCGTTACGTTCATGTTCAGTTGACATTGATTCGAACGCAAAATGGATACAAAATGGTGTCACTGTAGCTGGTGGAAATGGATATGGCACTGGAATTAATCAACTTTATCATCCGTTGGGTTTGTATATCGATGATGATCAGACAGTTTATGTTGCTGATCAGTCGAATCGTCGTATAATGGAATGGAAATCGGGTGCAACGAGCGGTAAAATAGTGGCTGGTGGAAATGGATATGGAAATAGAGCTGATCAATTAAATTTTCCCTATGATGTTATTATCAACAAAGAGAGAGACAGTCTCATTATCTCTGATTTTGAGAATAGAAGAGTCGTTCGATGGCCTCGTCAAAATGGTGCTAGTGGAGAAACAATCGTTTCAAACATCGATTGCATCGGTTTGACCATAGACGAAAATGGATTTTTCTATGTCGTTGATTATGAAAAACATGAAGTGAGGCGATATCGAATTGGTGACACTAAGGGAACAGTGGTTGCAGGCGGCAATGGACGAGGAAATCGTCTCAATCAACTCTCTTACCCTTATTACGTATTTGCCGATCGGGATCATTCAGTATACATATCTGATTCTGGAAATGCTCGTGTAGTGAAATGGGAAGAGGGTGCGACAAAAGGGACTGTCGTAGCCGGTGATCAAGGCGAAGGAAATAGCCTTGCGCAGTTATTACATCCTCAAGGGGTCATTGTTGATCAATTGGGCACTGTCTATGTTGCTGATTTGGGTAATCATCGAATTATGCGCTGGCCTGAAGGAGCCACACAAGGAAGTGTCATTGCTGGTGGAAACAGTCAAGGAACACAGTTGAATCAACTCAATGAACCTATTGGTTTATCATTCGATCGTCATGGCAATCTCTATGTCGCCGATTGGGGGAATAATCGTGTCCAACGTTTCACAATTCAATGAACTCATTAAAGTTGTTCATGTTTTGCAAATTCTATCAAATAAATAACCCCATATGATATTTCTTTCCTATTCTATTCGCACACGCGCACGATTAGAAACTACGTTGGTAGTGTCGTGGGTGTGGGATATGGGTGTAGATAAAAAGAAAATGAATACCTCACACCTACACCCAAGTCCGCACCGACAATCCGATAGTTTCATGCACAACAGGATGGCATTTTTTACTCATTTCTAAACTTTTTTATTGATATTTTAAGGCGGTATCTAGCTGATCTATATCACCAAATACAAGAGTAATATTGCTCAAGCATTATGATATTCACCTTGTCTATGATAAGTAACATCACTATTTCCCAAAGAAGTTGCCACATTCGGATAATTCAAATAGTCTTCTCTAATTTATTGAGCACGCAAATGATAAATGAGAGCTGCATAATATTGTTCTCGCATACATAAAAATGAACCGATATCATTGAAAATGAATGATAATGCTTTACCAAGTACAGGAACAACATTAGTCATTATTTCATATACTTGTGCGTACATGTTTTAGGACTTTCTCATAATCACTTCAATAGAAATCAGCAACACTCACATGGTAATAAACAAAGGATATATTTTCATCATTTGGATTTTTTAATAGATAGTCAAAATGTTTTTGACTATCTACCTGTATTCATATGTTTTTGATTCTCTTCAATATGTTCCCGTGCAATAATTGATCATTCATCTATTGCTATTATTGGTACAATAGTCATATTCAATGATTGATCTTTAATAAAAGATAATAATTCGAATACAACATTCAAATCAAACAAAACTTCTTTTTCTGGATGAATACTGAATTGAAGTATTGCTAACATGATATCTGTTTCATTCGTTTCCAAAGTAAATTAAATTTCAAACAGAACACAATTTCCACGTTGCCGATTGTTTGACGAATAAACATTAATGCAATATCTCTATGTAGACTCAATGATAAAAATTCGTTTGTCTATATAAGTTTTCTAATTGTCTTGACTTCGTCATTCGATAATTTAACACCACGATAAAATTTAATTATAGACGCGCACGATTCTTTTATTATTTGATATTCACATGCAAGATATTCACGAAGATCGGAAATAACATAACGAAATCTATACAATAATTCGATACGAGTTCATGGTATAAAGCTCGATTTAACTGTTTGTATAAGAAATGGTTGACCTGAATACCATCGTAGAGCATCATCACCGTTAAATTCACAATCAAATTGTGTAATTAATTTTAATTGCTTGTTATTCTTACAATAATATTTTTTGACAGAGAAATAAACCAGCTTCTTTCGATTATTCATGAGTTGATTTTTGTCATTGTTTGTAAAATTGAAATGATTCGGTCTGTTTTTTAACTAAATCTACATATTCTCGAACATATTCGAGCAGCTTTGGTAGTTCATAAAATATTCTGATTGTTTTTGAATATTCATTGAATAAATGTTCACACTTTCTACAATAATCACCAGTTAAAAATATACAACAATATCAAATTGTCTTTAATGATTAATCATTGATAAGGTTTCAATAATATACGATACGAATAAAATTAAGAAAAAATTTCATTTCACTCTTTGGAATGAATTGAACACAATCCACACACATATGAGTGGGTCTTAGTGTGAGTATGGGGTGTGGGTGGATGAGGGAGAGGGTGTTGGTATTCCGTTCTATCACATCTCACAACCGCACCCGTACCCACACCCATTCTCTATAAAAATTAAAGAATTAATCGAGTTGTTTTTGGTAGACTTTTAGTTCATAGAAAAAAAATGGTTTGTTACATGTGTTCTAACTTGAATGATAAGCAAGTATATGTAGAGGGTGCCTGAATAGTCACTTTAATGAAGAAAAAATTGATTATCTATGCAATATTTTGACTAAATGGGATGTTTCTTTTACCAATGATAAAGAAGCGTGTATAGGTTATGTTCATAACAAAAAAAAATGACAAACACTGCATTGAAATATCATTATTCACTTAAAAAAAGAACTAAATTTCCACGAATTATGAACAAAAAATCACATGGCAGTTTTCTCGACAAATTTCAGTTGTTTATGTCGGAAAATTTCAAGATAAAACGAGTAATAAGACATATATCTATGGTATGAATTTCATACCAAATGGTAATAGTGCGAAGACTGAATAGAAGAAAATAATTTATAGTTTACTTTTGGTCACGATAGCAATTATATTGTTTTTCCATAACTTTTGAAAGATTACAGTTACTTATTGAAGTCAACAATAATACTTAGATGCAGTGTTTGTCAATATTTTTCTTATGAACATAACCTATGAGCACTCCTTTATTGGTGGTACAAGAATTAGTTCATGTAGTCAAAATATGGCAGAGATGGATGTGGGTGTGAGTGTTGTCCTCATTCACACCCACCCCTCACACATGAATAGATGAGACACGTGTGCAGTCTTCTCAGCATGTACAAATCGATGTACTTGTGATATTAATTTGAGATCACACGATAGTAGAACTCACAAACAATCAAGAAACAAGGCGCAACATTTTATTTTGGTTAAGGAGATACAGTATTTTGAAAATTAAAAACTCTTAAAAGTGAAGTAATACACATGACACGGGTTAGTCTGTATCGTTTGGTTTTGTTTCATCCATCAACTAGAAAGGAATTATCAGATAATAACGTTTTTTTTGTTATACAACAAGCCAACTGTTGTCTGTGTTTTAAACGCCATTGAATATCATCTAAAATTTCAATTTTTTTCTCTTTAAGATAGACACGATAAATAGAGTAGTTTTTTCCATGTTCGAAAATTTCTTCGATTTGAGCAACTGTTAATTGAATTGTTTGTTGATTATATGATTGTGTTGTTTGAACTTCAATAAAACGAACTTCACCATTTTCAATCAATAGAATATCATACGGCAAATTAACGTCTACATCTTCGTTTTCCCATTTAATCGACACAAAATCCAAATGATTACTAAATTTCAGTTTCAAGTATTTATAAACAAGTTGTTCACCTAATTTTCTGATGTGCCAATTCCAAGCTCCCTGTTCTACAATACGTTCGAACGTACATTTTCTCTCCGCAGTAGTTGAATTCGAAAATGAGGATATATCAAATGAATTGATATCATAAATGACTTCATCATTCAGTTCAGTCGAACATGTTGATAATGATTTATCCCATTTTGTTGACAATTTTTGAGTTTTTGATGTTAAACTAAGATCTAGGACAACAGATAACTGCATAAATAAAGCTTTAAAACGGCTTTAATTCATTGAATGGAAGTTTGTTTATGAAATAAACAATACGATTATTTGTTTATACTATCCTATAATGCGTATTTCAATGCAAAACCCTTTTATGATGTAACGGCACACACATTGCACGATCTATTTGCCAGTAAAGAAAATGTTTGCTCTCCGTTAAACTATTATGACTTGTACGATGATAGGTCATTGGGCCGAGGGCCGAAAATCTCAAACTACATTATTTGAGTCAGTTTGGAATGAGAATTCTGAAAAAAGCAGATCTCAATCACTTGCTCAAAATAGAGTCATCACAGATCGTTTTCGAATTACCCAACTGTGTTTGATACTTGTCGAGAATTTCAGTATACATTTTGTTTTTGTCTGAAACTATGATTGAAATGACGATATAGATAGTATGAGATGCCTCTGTCTGTAAAAGCTTTAGGCTAAAATGAAAAAACAATAGAAACCAGTCGATAAACAATACTATGCTCTATCATTTGCTAATATTTAATTTTTCCCATAGTCCATCTTTGTTTTCGAAATCTGATTTTAGTGAGAATAGTTTGATATAGATGCAAAAGTGAAATACCTCAATTTCTATCGTATTACAAACTACGAGTTATTATTTTTTTTTGAATGGTATACTATAAAGAATTCTGTTTTGTTCTTTGAAAAGAGACGTGGGTGTGGGTGTGAAGAAAACAAACACGCACGTCCCACACCCACACCCAGATTGGCTATGAGAAAAAATGTGGTTTTGAAAACGATAGAGCATCAAATGCTTCATCAATTAGCCTGTATTTGTTTTCGTTCTGTCGCATATCTTTTGGTTAGAAAACACCAAATACTGAATACTTACTTGATCTTGGCATTTGTTCTAGTACGATTTTATCGTGATGTGACGGCATTTCAATTGAATTTTTCTCAAAATACAGTGTAATCTCTTTGAACGATGCTTTCAATAAAAATCGCATGTTATCTTCGAATCCTTTTATATTCAATAGTTGACATAATTGTTTCGGTAGATTCATAAGTGTTGTTTCACTATTCCACGGTCGATTAATATACAATCGCTGTTTAGTAATGTCAAAATAGACATTGGTTTCTTGTACAAATGTTCCATTGTAAAATAATTGCAACCTATTTGATTCAATAAAATCTAGCTTTTCTTCAATTATTTTGT